ACTCTAGACTTTATTTTCTGAGATAAATGAAAATAAAAGGGCATTTCACATAATTCTCCCAAGGTGTAATTATGACGAGGCACGTTTAATTCTAAATATTCCGCTGTTTGGAGGACAGATGTACCCGACTGTGCATTGAATACTTCCAAAAATTAAAATAATCCAATCACAGATTATATTATTTACTCCTTTCATCAACACGTATCATGAATTGAAGACAATCACCTAAATCATCAATCAGACAATCATCTAAATGTAATAAAAACAGATCTAAAAACTTTATCATTAACACCGGGTTCAAGGTTCAAAGTACTCCCTGCACAGTCAGACGGACATTGTTTTTGTTTTATTTTAATGTTTAATGCCTTGCTTTTGTCTTTTTTGTTGTTAGATGATTGATATTTTGATTTGTGTGAAATTGTTCAACTTCAATTTATGTAGGCCTACATAGTAGTAATTGCAATAAAATTGTTATCGTACCGTATCGCAATAGGAAAAATAATGATAGCAATAACAACAAAATCACAATAATAAGCAATAACACTAGCCACTACCCACCTTTGCTTGTATTTTATTTTTATATATCGTTTATACATAATATATATCGTTTGTACAAAAGTACACCTGTTCAATCAAAAAACTAATTTCACAGTTATCTACTTTAAAAAAATTTATATCTAGACATTTTAATTAGGTGACTTGTAAGATTTTTTAAGGAGCACATAATATTCAACCATCAAAAATTAACACGGAAATAACTTTTAGGCCTAATATACTCACTTTTCTAACTGTGTGTGCGAGTTTTTTTCTGGTTGCGTGGTTTTATATAGATGTATTGTGTTTATATAAATATACCGTCGTACATCCCTTGAAAAGCTTACAATTGTTGTCATAATAATTTATTGGCTGTGTTCCAAATAAAATTGTATATTGCTACTAGTCTACAAATCCTTCGTGTCAAATGCTTCTATAGCTATTGCAGACATATTTAGGTTAACAAACAAGAAATGTTAGCAAATTTATAAGTAGGTTTGGATAGAAGCGATTAACACAGCATACTGATTTAAAAATATAATATCATTATTATCATCGTTATAAAGTTTATTGATCAAAGAATTCCATCTAAGCTTAATCCAGGTGCGGTTTGTCGCAGCGGGAACATCGTGGTCGGGGTTTTCATCCCTCTCTGTGCATTTCGCTTATATCCTTAAGCAAGACATTTTATCTGCATTGCTTCTCTCCACAGGAGTATAAATAGGTACCTGGTGGGGTTGCCTGCTCCGTATACACTGATTACCAGCAACAACACTTAGCATGTGGATCCAATGACCAGGGAAAAGAACTGCGCTTTATAATCGCAAGGAAGAGGCGCATTATAAATGCCCATCAGTACCAGTACCAGTACCAGTACCAGTAGGCCAAACAATAGAAATGTCTTAAGATTCAGAATGATAAACAAAATAATTCGGCGTTTAATATCATATTACTGTTTGTTATAATATAAATACCAGTTATCTTGCTACCATAATGTTGGTGATGGTAGTAACGCTGATCATCATGTCAATGTGGATGGTAATTACAAGAACATTACTGAGGGTGGTGGTAATAATGATGATGTTGACGATTATAATTCAGGGGTGGCGCCAGGATTTGCCCAACGGGGGGACCGAGATCTCCGACTAGAGGCCGATACCCCCATCAAGGGGTCAGATTTCTCAGACGAAAGCAATGTGGGCGTGGTCGAGCTTCGATTAAAAGGTTTCGAAAGTGGTCCAGGGGGCGAAGCCCCCGAAAAGTTTAACAATTTTGGGGTTTCAAAGGCTATTTAATCGATTTTAGAGTCTACTAATATGTAGAAAATACATATAGGCTATTTTTTTTTCTCCCGACGAATTGTGCTTTTTCTCCCCGACGGTGGGTGGGGAGGGGGGGGGGGGCACCCCTGTTATTAAAATGATAATGATGGTGATGATGATAATGTTGGTGTGAATGGTCCTCACAATACCATTACTAATGATGATAAAGATAATAATGAAGAGAATAGTGAAGATGATGGGTGTTGATGATAAGGATGCTGCTGATGATATCACATTTGTAAAAATTTGATCGCTCTTTTAAATGATGCTTCTTTGATATTTGATTGCTAAATAACGAGACAAATTCTGAAATGAACCAACATCGTTCAGTTGATCATGGTTCCTTTGTTTTGGAATCTAAAAGACTGTTTTACATTTTCTTATCGTAAATGCTCGAAAAAGCGCCGGGGAGGTTATTAAATGTTTTGAGGCGTCGGTGCGGTGCTTATTCGAGAGCGGCGCTTATTAAAAAATATTGGCGTGCCGCTTTCCATGGCTGTACCCATGTTAGGCCTATATCACGTAATTTCCGTAGTTCAGTAGGCCTATCATTAGTCCTACGTCATCGTAAATGACCATTTATAAAGAAATATGTGTCTTCCTCGTGTTTTATTTATTCATTTTAACACTGTATACATTGTATTTAAAACCATGTTATTTTAAAGTGTTAATTACACACAGATTATACGTATACTCTCGATTAAGCACCACGGAGCTTCTTCGAAAGCGCCGCTTAGCGAAAAAAAAAATCAGGTTTGGCGCGGCGCTTACTCGAGAACGGCGCTTCTTCGAACATACGGTATTTATACTAAAATAGTTCCTTCCGTAGACTCATTTAAAGTTTATTACATTTGCCATGTTTATTGGAGTAAACAATTTTTTTCGAGTCTATCACCTTATAATCAAAAAGAGACTCCATCTGCGGCAGAGGCTCGGCCGAAGCCTTCAGCTATAAAGTTGGCCTTAAATTTGGAAAATTAAAAAGAAGAAAAGATGTTATTTTATCTGGTGACGAATAACACTCTGTTACAGACGAAAGAGCGTTGTTGGTAGGACTTTCCACTTGGTATTTTTACATGGATAAGTCAGGTTCTGCATACAGGGCATCTTTCTTTGAGTGTACTAAGTCATGATCATCTGCATTTGCTGAAGTGGCGGCATTTTCCTTCAAGACATTAGCAGTTTCAGCAACATCCGTCGTTTTATCTGGTGAAGCGTAATTGTTCTACTGATGCCATGACATTTGGTATTTACGTTTCATTGACATGTCAGGTTTTGCATACAGAGCATCTATGCTCGAATCTGCTATTTTATCAAGATTACCTACATGCTTTGCACTGACGACTGTCTTTTTTGTGATAGATCCCCAGAGCTAGCAACATCAGCCATTTCATGCGGCGAAGAGTAAAGACATGATGCTTCAAACGGAAGAGCATCGTAGGCCGGGTTGTCCACTTCACCTTCACAGTCGCTTTTAATCCCATCATAAGTGCGGTAAGAATTTTCATCATGATAACCTTCATATGTAGGATTCTCTTCAGATTCATAGCCATACGGATTCTCTCTGTCATGCGCACTTGAACTTTGATTCACTGCATATTTTTCCGGCTCAAGTGCATTATCGAATGAACTATTTGAAATATGGATGGTATATGGCACATTAGGTCCTGGCCTCTTTGTAGGCACGTTATACAAAGTATTGCACATTGACATTTTTTCTTTATCAACGTCACGGCATCCGTTTTTAGTAGAACCTCTCAGCACATCACAAGGCTTATCCTCAGCTATATCATCCATCAAAATTTCCGGGTTCATTTTGGTCTTTGACTTGCAACATAATCGTTTCCAAAACCTTAAATAATAATATTGAATATTTAAAATGTGATAATGATAATAAGTGTATACATATATTCGTTTCTTCGTTTCCTGAATAATTTTGTTTTGTGTTCTACTGTTTAACTCAGCGTTTTTGCATTATTTTTGTATATATATATATTCAAATTAGGTTGGCTGAGTAGTACTGTAAACTTAATATAAACAAACGGGTAAACATTGATCAACATAATACGTCCTCATCGTAATAATTTGAAAAACAAAAATAATAGGCCTGCACTAAATAGACCATAATACAACAATGAAATAAATTCTAAAGCGTTTAGGGGTAATGTTATAAGTATATATAAAATATGTATTTGAATGAAAAATACAATTTGCAATGACAAAATTGCCCCAACCTCCGAGTTGATATAATATAATAATTGTTTATGTTAAATATATAGGCCTATATATATTTATTTATTTATATTATATATATAATATATATTATATATATATATATTCCTATATTTATATAAAAGAATAATAATGATGATAATAATAATAATAATAATAATAATAATAATAATAATAATAATAACAACAACATTACAAGAGGGCTTCGAGTTTACCTCCATACTGTACCATGATACATATATAGGTACAGAAATTCACATAGCAATAATATAAAAATGTTAAAATATTTCTGCTCGTAGGCCTAAAACTTTAATTGGTATCAAAACAGAGGACTTAAGAGCTAAATTACGTTTAACAACAATTTGCATACACACCAGACTAAAATCAGGACTAAAATTGCTGCAACGGATGAGGCAGATACAAGCACGATCATCATCAAATCTGAAAAAGAAAAGAAATCATTTGGGCATACAGTATATTAAACTGAAAACAAAATCTAATCCTAAGCTTTAATGTTGAAAAATATCATGTTTATAGTTGACAAATGCTTATTATCATTTTCCTGTATTCTTTAAAACAGATAATATTTAGCCTTAGTATATTTTTTAACCTAGTACTTCTTTTGGTGTTTAAATTTAATCTACATGTTAAGGATGCAATGTGGAGAGTCGCTCAAAAAGCTACCATTTTTGGCAATCCTACTGTATCTTAATTTTATTGTTTTGGATATACTGCTACTTTGAAATTAAAGAAAACATAATAAAATATAAAATAAAATAAGGTGAATGTAATTGTTTCCCCAAAATACTAAAATAACATCGAAAGACATAACTTGAACGTATATTTTCAAATAAACTTTCCGCTTGAATAAACGCATCCTGGTGATGTAAACAAAATTTTACATTCTTGACATTATTCAATCATATGCCCTAGACTAAAATCAGGAGTAAAATTGCTGCAACGGATGACGCAGATACAAGCACGATCATCATCAAATCTGAAAAAGAAAAGAAATCATTTGGGCATACAGTATATTAAACTGAAAACAAAATCTAATCCAAAGCTTTAATGTTGAAAAATATCATGTTTATAGTTGACAAATGCTTATTATCATTTTCCTGTATTCTTTAAAACAGATAATATTTAGCCTTAGTATATTTTTTAACCTAGTACTTCTTTTGGTGTTTAAATTTAATCTACATGTTAAGGATGCAATGTGGAGAGTCGCTCAAAAAGCTACCATTTTTGGCAATCCTACTGTATCTTAATTTTATTGTTTTGGATATACTGCTACTTTAAAATTAAATAAAACATAATAAAATATAAAATAAAATAAGGTGAATGTAATTGTTTCCCCAAAATACTAAAATAACATCGAAAGACATAACTTGAACGTATATTTTCAAATAAACTTTCCGCTTGAATAAACGCATCCTGGTGATGTAAACAAAATTTTACATTCTTGACATTATTCAATCATATGCCCTAAAGTAACATTTTACTGTATATTCTGCTTAAATTTCAACACGCACAATCACTTTTTAAAACGTCTCACAACAGCTGCTAAGAAATAGTCAATGGGGGTCATACACCCATATCCAGAACCCATTATTCTGACCAGGCGGGGAGTGGCGGTCACGTTGGCCTCCTCTGAAAATTGAAAGACCTCTGGAAATTTACCTACTCTTCTCTGGATTTATTATGTTTCACTCAGTGTCTGTACAATTGAGTCTGGTTTCCTTAAAATTGCTACACTGTCGCTACAGTGTTTCAAGTGCAATCGTTGTACTGCATATCAGTCACCGACGCAATCGGGAAGGCTCCCGAAAACTGTCAGCGATATCGTGTAGCGATTGTATGGAAACAACGCTTAATTAAGCAGTCCAGTTCATCATACTGTATTTTAAGTTAACACAATCATGGGCGTCGGTCGACGGGGAACAGGGGGACAGGTCCCCCACTTTTAAAAGTATGGGGAAATCATATCAATTGTCCCCCACCCCCACTTTTCATCAATCTACGAATGACTGTTATTAATTTTGTCTGTTCACTTGTGCTCTGTTTCAAGTGCGGTGCGTATTTCTAGAACGCAATTGTTTGTACATTTCGTAACCATCTCAGTAACCACTCCATCGAGTTTATGGGTGCAACGGTTATCAGAGGCTAAATATATTTTGACAACAATGTAATGGAAGCGTGTAAACCTACTAGGCCAACATTTTTACATTATTATTATTATTATTATTATTATTATTATTATTATTATTATTATTATTATTATTATTATTATTATTATTATTATTATTATTATTATTATTATTATAAATGATTTAATCCTTTTGTTATTATTAAAACCCGTAGAGTTCTCCCTGTTCGTGTAACCCGGTTGACTCACATTAGCCATAAGTACACTGTTTTTACTCCCTCTGTTCGCACTGTCTCCCACTTTTGCTCCTTCATCGTCCGAACCTCGATTCTCTGGAATTCTCTGGAATTCTCTGCCTTCTTTATGTTTCCCTTAATCCTTTAACCTAAAGATTTTCAAAACTCCCTCTAACCTTTCTAGCCTAGTTCTCATCATTCCTTTGCATGTTATAGGTTTACCTTTGTCTTGCATCATCTGATAAAAATTTAAAACAAAATAAAATATATATACTAGTGTTTAATATTGTCTGCATAGATTTCTGTTTTTCTAATTTAAAAAAATATATTTAGTCAATTGAATTTTATATAGCGGTTATTAAACAATAATTACTCGCCATGACGTCATGATAATAATAAATAAAGTAAATCACCTTTATGTTTGTGAAATAAAAATACTAACTAATGTTTTGTGTGCTTCCTATCTCTCTAGTCCTGTTTTATTGTAAATTAGACGGCAGTATATCCACTCACAATAGTGTAGTCGCAATATTACTTGCACAAAAGTGAAATTCAAAAAGAGGAGGAAAGGAAAACCTCTTGATTTATTTCGAAAGTATTGTATATGCAAAGAGACTAAATTAGTGTGACTGTTTATAGTTTATCTTATTTATTTTTCATGGTTCGAATACGTCACAAGCTAATTAGTAGATAATAAATCATTATTTTTATGAATGTTAGTTTGCACGCAATATATACGTGAGCAGGACTATGATTACCAGGTGAATTGAAAAACTTAATGAGTATTTTAGTGACAGATTAAAGGGTGCCCTGCCAGCCCGCCTTCCCGAAATTTTCAAAATTTAGAAGTGGAAAAAAAAAAGAAAATGATATGTAAATTTAAGTCTGAGAGTGCTATTTCCAGCCAACTGAGGCGCCATAATCATAAATTTTCTACACTCCATCAGTAAATTCCCTCCCTGGGACACTCCATTAGTAAAAGACCCTCTCCTGGCCCCCTCTATTGCGAATTCCTGGATCTGCACTGTATTTTGAAAATGTAGTGTGGAAATAAATGTTCATTGCATTCCTTACAATCAATTAGATACGACTTATATAAGGCTATAGACGCCATAGCTTCCAAGGCCTTCGCCCCAGTCAAGTCTTGGCAATTTTCCCCTCCCCGCACTTCCAACAATGGATCGACGCCCTTGAACACAATGAAGCTACGGTTTTCAGGTCAACTGTCTTGTTACCCTTATCTGAGGTAGGCTTCATTGGTTTATCACTTTTACTAGTTGTTTCTTTGTTTTCACTGGTAAATGGCTGTACTGATGGTCTACCAGCAGTCGTGGATAATTGCTGGGTTGCTGAGAAACGAAAAAATGTGGGTTTATTATTATCAAGGCTGTGTTATGTGTTGCAGCATTTATGCGTGTGATTGTGTATAATGTTTACATGATAATTGTGTACACATTATTTATTGATTACCGTAAATTAGTTATTGTTATTTACATATACAGTAGAACCCCTCCTTTGGGACACGCCTATTCAGGGAACACCTCTATTAAGGGGACACTGTTTTGTGAAACTAGGGGTGATATATCTTTTAACACTGTGGCCAACCCCTGTTAAGGGGACACCCCTATTAAGGGGACGGGGACGAGGACGGACAACTTCTGAATGTGCCAAATGGCCAAATAACCCCTATTAAGGGGACACTTTTTTTTTTCCTGTTTATATTTATCACAACAAATACAACATTCTTAAAATAAAAACAATTCACTAAACTTTATAGCCTATATTGACACATTTAGAGCAACTTATTAAGGAACTTGTCACCTTTCTAACTATCACCTTTCTACTGCTTCTTGTCAAGGGCGAGCCTTTGCTAGACTACGTAATAATAATAATAATAATAATAATAACAATAATAATAAGAAGAAGAATAATGACAATAATAATAATAATAATAATAATAATAATAATAATAATAATAATAATAATAATAATAATAATAATAATAATATTTTAACTGAAATTGGAAATAGAATTTTGAACCAAGTAAAATAATCCGTCTTTGTTTGGTAGTAGTAGTAGTGTGTTTATATTTTCATGGTTTGTTCTTTTGCTTGTATCTGTTTAGTGTTATTCTGTTCTCTCCTCTTATTGATTTGATTGGATTTTGTATTTTGATTTTTTTTCTCCAATTTTTTCTTAGTTTTTATTTTAATTATTTTGGTATATGTATGAATAACTTATCCTTTTTAATGAAATTGTTCTATTTATTAAAGTTGTAGGCTTACTACTTTACTTCTATGTTCCTGAGGTTTTCTGAATAAATTTCTTTTTCTTCGTTTTCGTGCACTTTTATAAATTCATTCATCATAAAAACAATATTGGGAACATATAAAACTACTGTTGTTTTAATAACATTTCTGCTGATTTCATATTATAAATGAATTATTTGCCTTGAAAATTAATGCTATAAATTAGTTATAATTCTGTTGTAACTCATTATGTCAATAAAAATAAAATTATGAAGACTTTTGTCATCGTTATATGAAAATATGCAAAAAACCCCTATTTTGGCATTATTTTGGTTAGTGGCCCCTTATTAAGGGGACACTTTTTTTTTGGTCCCGAAGGTATCCCTTTAATAGGGGCTCTACTGTATCTAACAGTACCAGGTGTGGACAATAATAGGGAACTGTCGATATTGCACGACAACGATTGGACGTGGTCACTAAAAGTCACATACATATGCGAGAACGTTAAATCTAAGTACCAGCGTACGTAGGACGCACAGTAGGACGGTCACGCATGAGGAATTCCGCTGTAGCGTCGTGTCGTCGAACAAATCGAACCGCGGTAACGAGATCTCACCTGCATCACTTTTATTTTCAATTCAATACGACGTCGACCACTGATCTCTACCTGAGAAAACTAGTATAGTTGTCTCAGTCTCTACTATAATACGACCCATGAGCTACAGGTTAATTGCCTACCTTTGTTATTTTCGGTGTTAGTTTTCGTAATTGGCTCATCACTAATACCAGTTCTGTCTTTGGGTTCACCATTTACCGTGGCTACTACTGATGTATGCATGCGATAAGTGGAACTTAACGGTATAATACTTCTAGAAAATGACTGTATTGACATGCCATCAGTAGTCGTGGATAACTGCGTGGTTGCTGTGAGACGAAAAAAAAGTATTTATAGTCTTCTGAATGTGTCAGATTTACTTGTGTACACATTATGTATTTCAGTGGTTCTAATAATAATTTAAGGTATTGATTGATTACTGCCACTTACTTATTGATTTTTCACAAATATAACCATATTCAGGATTTGCAGTTTCAGCCCCTATTAGCGCGGTACTCACAATGTCGTACCATTTGCCAGGTTCGAGGTTTTCCAGGGTCGTCATATACACTACTGCAGAGTAATGAACAGGAACATTTGGTTCATTAATGCCCCATAACAACTCCATAGCAGTATCATCGGATTCCCAGTTCCACCTATGTTGATCCATTCCCATCTGGCGTGATAATCCGATGGCGTAGTTTCCACGTGTGCAATTATCTTGGAGAAAGTTCAAGATTGCATCGTTTTCATCTGAACTGGTTATGCTTACAAGTTGATAGCCTGATTGTTCACATATTTCTTTAAGGTCGTTCCATGTTTTCAAACCGAAATAGTCTGTTTCAACAAATGTAGCTTCATAGTGCGATGACCCAAAATAAAAGTCTACACAGACTACATTAAAAGAGAATTTGTTATTCAAAATAAGGTGTACTGATTAGTACACAGTCAAACAAAAAAACCTAACATCTGAAAAATATTTACATGGCGCTTTTGCAAAAATACCCATCATCATAAACTGCATTCTACTATAACAAGCAAAACACAATTAAAAATGAATATATTGCAATAAAGAACTAACAAAATATATGTGTACTAATCACTACAATTCATATTTGTCATACCATTTTAAAGAATGTTTTCTTACAATATAAATAACTCTACTCAAATTATTAAGCTCCATAATAAGAATACTGTACAAATACAAATACTGTAGTTCAATCTTGCAACTTACAAAAGTAATTGATGTGGGATGTACAAAATAATAAACACCAAATTATTTATTAAAATATACTTAATAATAAATGAAAACATTACGTTTACGAGTAGCTCACACCTAGTAGGCCTATGGTTAATTGGCATAGGCCTAAGCAAATTAGTACTTACGTGCCGAAACTTTTCTAATACCAATACTTTTGTGAATTATAATACAGTGAGCCGTGAAATTTACTACATCATAATGGATGAAAACGAGCAATTTAGTGTAGGCCTATAATATATACCTATAGGCCTATACACAATGATATAGGCCCTATTACACGAAATTTTACATACAAAATTCTTCCTTACCTGTGCTCGTATCTCTAAAAAAAATAGGCAAAATATTTAAAATATGTAAATAATATGACTTGTAATACCGTGACAGAATCGGAAATAGGCCTTTTTATAACATTTCCTTGATCACAGGATGCCACGATACGCTTACTAATCAGTAGCCGCTGGCGATGATATATATGATTCGTGATTCCAGATACACATTGTAATGGAAAATCAATTAATAATGAAACTTAGAAGCTTACTAGCAAATAACAAAGTTAAACGGAATACCTTCACTATAGACAACTGAAAGAAAACCATGTAGTATTAAACTGATACAGAGAAACATTTTTAAAACCTGACCAACATGTTCATAGCGAATAAGGAAATACGAATATAATTTCAACATGTATGGGGGCGCTAGTAATACAATCCATATAATTATATATAATTAGACGCCTATTGATAGAAATAACTATCACCTTTATTGTGTATATGCTTTATGCAATGTAGATCAGTTACGCTGACGAAGTTTTCAGGAGAGGACGAAATATTCGTTTAAATAAAATATATTTATGTTCCGAAATGTCAACATTTTCTTTACAGTAGTTTGTCTCCGGCACACGCACTTTTCTTTATAATACGTGGAACATACGTGCAACACACACATGACTATTATATATATATATACAAATATCTATATACATATATAGGCCTATATACATATACATATATACATATACACATATATATACATATATATACATATATACATCTATATATATATATATATATATATATACAATATATATATATTTATATACACAACCAGAAACAAAACATACGCAAACATTCCATTCTAAATGAGTCTACTTGCTGCAATTTATTAAATAATCTATTTAAAAAAAAGGTATAGTACCGGTACTTGTTCTACAATAATTATTTTGCCATGGATAATACGTACTGAAAATGGATTGCATTGAATATCATTATTAAAGCCTATGCACTTATTGGTTACATTATAATTTGAATACTCCAGGCAAATCTTCCAGTATTTAGAACAAGGAAAGGTATAGACATGTAAGTTGGTGTTAGATAATAACGCAAAAAAACATTGTTATTTGATATAAATACTGTTGACCAAAGAATTATCATTTTGCTTTATTAATACTGTAAAGAAATTCCAATTAAATAAAATAATGCTGCGCCATAACAGCTATTATCCACCCAAATGATACAAAGACAACACGTAATATGCTTAATCTCAACAAGCAATGCATCATTGGCATGGACACTCCCCAAAAGTTTTGTTCACCCGCATATCCCTCCCTAATTGAACTACGCGCCTTGAGGTAGGGTTATTGCCTAGTGACCCACATACACTTCCCTAATGGAACATGCGTATTGAGGTTCGTTAATCCACTAATGTCCTACCGACCAAAATACCCCTCCCTAATTGTCTTGTGGTGAGGTTGAATGTTATTACTCTAGTGACGCACATATCCCACTCATCAAGATAATACATGAAAATAAATACAAAGTACACTTTAAAAGAATAGAATCATGATATAAAAATATTCATTGACATGGTATACTGTGATGATATAATAATGATGAATGGGCTGGTAGCAATTATTATAATGATAACGACAATTATGATTGTTATGATGATAAAAATTATGATATGGATGATCATGATGATGACGACAACGGTGATGGTGGTGGTGGCCACGATGGCTGTGATGTCGTCGTCATCATCATCATCATACCATTACCCTCATCACACTTTTATAATAAAATTCAACCAATAGCAACATGTTTTATATTTCTGTCAGGTTTTGTATACAAATCATCTATAAGTGCATTTCCTACGGATCACAATTATGATATTTTCAGTGTCATCACCAGATTAATCTAGTGAATCATAACGTCTTTCCGGTTCAATTGGATGAGCTTCTTCTGTGATCTCAGCAAACATTTTCCCTGATGTCTTTTCTTTACATAAATGTTTGCCATTATCCAAAGTTATATTGTATATATCACACGGCATAACCTCATCTACACCATTCGTAAGTTTGTGTTCCGTTTCTCTCTTAGACTTGCAGCATAATTGATCACGAAACCTTAAAATGAACAACCGGAAAATAAAATTCGTATTTATTGAAATGCTCTATATTATAGTATCACCTACATTAAGTGGAAGCGGTTACCCTCGTTGTGCAAGTCGCTTCCCTTTACCCAGGAGTATAAATGCGTAACAACATACATTGGGAAGGTAAACAGAAAAGCTAATGTGTGGGAGGAGTGGCAACCCCCACCCCCCAGTCTTTCACAGTCTGGCCCAAACGCCGTTAGAAAAAAGATGGGCACTCCGGCCTGTGAGCTCAGAGTTTTAGGTGGGACCTTTTTACTTTCACCATGGAGGAAATATATGCTTTCACATACATTGAATCTGGAATAATATCAAACAAAACAAAAAGTTGTTTATCAACAATACAGTAGTCACTTGGTCCTGTATATTCTAATACTATATTTTGGCACTGAACAGGGATACGTCTACCTATGTTTATTTTGTTCTTGTTCATTATAATTCATTCCCTCCTGTTACCAACAAATTAGACAAAGTACATGTGCTGTGATCATTTGTGTTGCACAGTACTGTGTATGTTCACCAATAGTAATTTCTTTATGAATATATAAATAAAAACAAACACGTACTGTCTACATAATTTTAATTTAGTAATGTTAACTCATATTTTGTATTTATCTGTAAACAACTAAACAGCATTATTTAAAAAAAATAGTAGAAACCAAACTTTAAAAGACCCTCCAGTTAATAATTAAGGTAGCAAACTCATGATAAAAACACACTAATTCTATTGTGTATTATGATGTATTTCATAAACCGATCGAATGGGGGTATACGTACTTATAGAGTAATATTAGAACTACACTACCAATAACAAACGGCAACACAGGCGCCAGCATGATCATGAATAAATCTGAAAATAGAAAACAAATCATGAGTTTTACCAATAAAAAAAATCACAACAAGCCTACAGTTATAATATGTATGATGATGGTGATAAAGATGTTTATAATGATGATGATGATGATGATGATGATGATGATAATAATGATGATGAAGATGTTGATGATGATGAAAATTTCTGATGAAAGATTATGATGATGATAATGATTTTGATGATGACAATAATGGTGACGACGACGACAACGACAACGACAACGACAACAACAACAACAACAATAATAATAATAATAATTATTATTATTATTATTATTATTATTATTATAATGATAATAATAATAATAGAATTACGAAGGAAATGAACGTTCCGATCGTAGGTTGCCCAAGACCATTATTTCCTCTATCTGAATTAGCCCGAGGAGTAAATGATTCACAACTGAAACCAGTTCTTTCTTTAGTTTCACCGATCACTGTAGCTGATATTAATAATAATAATAATAAGTGTTATTATTATCCAACAGTACCAGGTGTGGACAATAATAGGGAGCTGTCGATATTGCACGACAATGATGCGAGAACGTTAAATCTAAGTACCAGCGTACGTAGGACGCCCAGTAGGACGGTCACGCATGAGGAATTCCGTTGTAGCGTCGCGTCGTCGAACAAATCGAACCGCGGTAACGAGATCTCACCTGCTTCACTTTTTATTTATTTTAATATTTTATTTATTTGTGTATCTATTTATTTTTATTTTTTACATTTTTTTTTTATTTTTTTTATTTTTTTTTTTATTTATTTATTTTTTTTTTTTTCAATTCAATTCAATACGACCAATGAGCTACTGGTTAATTGCCTACCTTTGTTATTTTCTGTGTTAGTTTTCGTAATTGGCTCATCACTAATACCAGTTCTTTGGGTTCACCATTTACCGTGGCTACTACTGATGTATGCATACGATAAGTGGAACTTAACGGTATAATACTGCTAGAAAATGACTGCATTGTTATGCCATCAGTAGTCGTGGATAACTGCGTGGTTGCTGTGAAACGGAAAAAAAAGTATGTAGGCCTAATATTCTTCTGAATGTGTCAGATTTACTTGTTTACACATTATGTATTTCAGTGGTTCTAATAATAATTGAAGGTATTGATTGATTACTGCCACTTACTTATTGATTTTTCACAAATATAACCATATTCAGGATTTGCAGTTTCAGACCCTATTAGCACGGTACTCGCAATGTCGTACCCGGGTCGTCATATACACTACTGCAGAGCCAATAACAGGAACATTTGGTTCATTACTGCCCCATAACAACTCCATAGCAGTATCACCGGATTCCCAGTTCCAAGCAGTTTGATGATTAATTCGCATCTGGCGAGATAATCCGATGGCGTAGTTTCCACGTCCGCAATTTTCTTTAAGGAAGTTCAATATTGCATCGTTTTCATCTGAACTGGTTATGCTTACAAGTTGATAGTCTGATTGTTCACATATTTCTTTAAGGTCGTTCCATGTTTTCAAACCGAAATAGTCTGTTTCCACAAATGTAGCTTCATAGTGCGATGACCCAAAATAAAAGTCTACACAGACTACATTAAAAGAGAATTTGTTATTCAAAATAAATTGTACTGATTAGTACACAGTCAAACAAAAAAAGTAACATCTGAAATATGTTTTGATTTGTTGAGCATTATTTACATGGCGCTTTACAAAAATACTCTTCATCATAAACTGTATTTTACTATAACAAGTAAAACACAATTAAAAATGAATTCATATTGCAATAAAGTATTACACAAAATAAAGCTTAGCAATGTGTACTAATTACTTTATATTTATATGTGTAATTTTGCCCTACCTGACGTGGAAATGTACCGAATACTCAGTACATTTGTAAACAACTACGAAAAAAATCGCAAGTTGTTCTCGGGAAAATTACACCTATACATGTTTCTCCTGACGCAAATCCAGTTATTGTCTATTTAGGCTAGGCAATCAAAAAAGAGCCAAAATTCAAACAAATTGCAAACAAAGGTTTTTCTTCTTAAATCAAGTACATATGGTGAGGGGATGAAATTCCACAAATCACACCTCAGTCACACATCGGGAACATATGCAAATTAGCTAAAATATGCAAATTAGGTTAAAAATTCAGTGGTCTCATACCTTGGGAACCGCTGGTCGCAAAGAGTTGCTTTCTTTTTCAAATTATTCAAAATATACATTTTTCTATTTGCTCTAATGGAACATTTGCCTAAAAAAGGAACGGAAATAATACAACTGTCCTCTGACCTTATATTCACTGAATTTGCATATCTCTGCAAGTAATGTATGTAGAATCTTAAGTTAGGTCTTAAATTATTCAAATACAGGTTTCTTTCCAATATATTAATCAAAGGGATGGAAATCTATAATCACACTATGGTCAAATGTACTGTTAATATGCAAATTAGCTCTAAAATATGCAAATTAGAAATGAAAAAAAAGGGTTCCTATATCTTGGTAATGACTGGTCACAGAGAGTTGCTTTCTTTTCCAGAGTGTGCGGAATATGAATGTTTCTATTTGCTGTATTGGAACATTTGCCACAAAATATGACCGGAAATGCTAAAAAGTGACCTTTGACCTTATAGTCACCGAAATTACATATCTCTGTGACTACTTTCCGCAGAATCTTAACTTAAATCTTATATAATTTAAATACATATTTTTTCAATATATTTACAGAAGGGATGGAAATCTATAATCACACTATGGTGTAATGTACTGGTCATATGCAAATTAGCTCTAAAATATGCAAATTAGGAATGAAAATAAAGGATTCCTATATCTTGGTAATGGCTGGTCACAGAGAGTTGCTTTTCTTTCCAGATTGTGCGGAATATGCATGTTTCCATTTGCTGTAATGGAACATTTGCCACAAAAATGACCAGAAATGCTAAAAATTGACCTTTGACCTTAAAATCACAGATACATGTCTCTGTGACTACTTTCCGCAGAATCTTGACTTAAATCTTAAATAATTTAAATACATGTTTCCTTTTAATATATTAACAGAAGGGATGGAAATCTATAATCACACCATGGTCATATGTACTGTTCATATGCAAATTAGCACTAAAACATGCAAATTAGGAATGAAAATGTAAGGTTCCTATATCTTGGCAATGGCTAGTCACAAATTGTTGCTTTCTTTTTCAAATTGTACGGAATATTTATGTTTTTATTGGCTCTCTATAGTAGAAAACCTGTCACCAAAATGGTTGGAAATGATACAATTGACATTTGACCATATTTTAACTGATTGCGTCTCTGCGATTTATGTCCATAGAAACTTCATTTACTAAATTAATTATTTATTAAAATTATTAAATGTTTAAAAAAAAATAGAAATCTATAATCACAAGCACTGTACATATGCAAATTTTCTCTAAAATATGCAAATTAAGAATGAAAATATAGGGTCTTATATGATATTTTTTTTTTCAAGTAAGTATGAAATATCAACATTTAAATTTGCTTTAATGAAAATTTGACCTTATATTATTGGTCATTATCCTGATCATAAAACATTTTTGTGATGATATACTCATTGAAAATGAACATAATAACAATTTTCTGAAAGCATAATTGAGGTAAGATGTAGAGGTGGGGCTAAAATTAAATTATATATTTTTCCGCCTTCTTATAACACATTAAGAAATTATTAATAAGTTAGCACTCTAAAACTAAGTTTGCAAAGATAATTTAATCAAAACAATTTTTCGCAGGCAGTCGCTGTCAGAACTTTATCAGGTGTTTGCAGTGCGTTCTTCACAAGCAAGCCTTTTTGAATTGCATTAATTACTTTCAAATTAAAATATACTTCTAAATCATTGATTCATATTCAGCCATACATTTATCATGTGATATTTGTTCCATATAGGACCAAATGATGTTACATAGATTTCAAGTTAAATCCTCTATCGCCGATTTTTAAGATTCATCAGATTCTTAACTATAGAAGATGATCGAGATGATCAGTAGTTATGGGCAACATGGGTCATGTTTTGGGTTCTGATCATTTTTTGTCATAACTTTTCTACTTTAGAAATATATTATATAAAATATAGGCATACTACTTAATTAATTTGAGACCAATGTCAAGTCTCTTGACCGGTAGTCATGATATTACACGAAAATAGAGCGGGAATCTGGTAATAAACAAGGGCATTAGTGATTTTTGCACAAGTCTTATTACAGATAACGTCAAATAATGATAATATATTTTCGAAAAAATAATGATTTGATATCTATTTTGTGGATAATAAATATATCCCAAAATGATCAAATATTCCATTTCGGCATGCTCTGAACAATTGCAAAAAAGAAAGCAACTATTTATGCTTCTAATTTGCATATTTAGGTAAACTGCATATAGAGAATGTGAGTAACCAAGGTGTGAATTCTGGAATTTCATCACATATATGGTACAGTGAATCAAAACCTGAATGATATATATTCCGGTGCATACATATACAGTACTGAAGCAAATAGAGACTGCAACATCTAAAAGCGTTAAAAAGCGTGAAAAAAAGCAATTACTTAACACCAGCAGTTTTCAATATATGAGAAACCTATATTTTCATCCATAAATCGCATAATTAGGCTGAAGACGTAAATTTTATATACAGGAGCGGGAGTGTTTTTGGGCGTCTAGAACACAAAAATTTCGCAGGGGCATGCCCCGGACCCCCCAGTTAGTATTATTGCGATCGGCCCCACTTTTTCCCCCAACCCATCCCCTTTGGAAATCTCTAGATTCGCTCCTGAAAAGAAACATGAACTTGAACAATATATTAGGTTTTTACAGACATTAGTGTCAGAGATATACAGTATGCAAATTCTGTGAATATGTGTCAAGGGTAAATTTTAGCATGTTGGATAATGTGGAACAAATGTTCAATTAGAGCAAATATAAACATGCATTATTATATGAATATTTTAAAAAGAAAGCCACACTGCATTTTGATAATTTGAGACATAAATCACGTTTCTACTGATATTAATCACTGAAATATGCAAATTCAATAAGTATAAGGTCAAAGGTGAGTTGTGGCATTTCCGGTAATTTTTAAGGCAAATTTTCTATTAGAACGAATAGAAACATATATGTTCTGAATAATTTGAAAAATAAAGCAACTTTCTGCGACTAGCGGTTGCCGCGATATGGGACCCTATATTTTCTTTCTTAATTTGCATAATTAAGAGCTAATTTGCATATGAAGAGAATACGTGACTATGGTGTGATTATAGATTTTCATCCCATTTATTAATATAATGCAAATAAACATGCATTTTGAGTAATTTGAGACCTAAAGTAAGGTTTCTATGTACATTAGTCACAGAGATATGCAAATTCAATGAATATAAGGTCAGAGGTCAATTGTAGCATTTCCGTTCATTTTTTAGGCAAATGTTCTATTAGAGCAAATAAAAACATGCATGTTCTGATTAATTTGAAACGAAAAGCAACTCTCTGCGACCAGCGGTTGCTGAGATATGGGATTTCTATGTTTTCATTAAGTAATATGCATAATTAAGAGCTAATTTGCATATGAAGAGTATATGTGACTATGGTTTGATTATAGATTTTCATTCAATTTATTAATATAATGCAAAGAAACATGCATTTGAATGATTTGAGACCAAAAGTAGGGTTTAGGACCAGCGGTTGCCAAGATATGAGAACCCTATATTTTTAACTTAATTTGCATATTTTAGCTAATTTGCATATGTTCCCGAGGTGTAACTGAGGTGTGATTTCTGGAATTTCATCTCCTCATTATATATATTTGATTAAAAAAGAAAAACCTTTGTTTGCAATTCGTTTGACTTCAAATGCTAGATTGCCTAGCCTAATTATTCCATCACGACAATAACAATTATTATCAACACTACAGTACCCGCTGCTAATGGCCCTGTCACATAGTAGCGAATAGACCTAACGTATGCCGAGCGTTCTCATTTTTTTTTCTAAGTCCCGATACGCTGAAATACGCTAAATTTTTTTGGCAAAAAAATAACATCTTTGCGTGAAAGACGAACGCCCAACGAATGTTCAGCGTACACAACGAATGCCCAGCGAATGTCACACGTATGCCGTACAGCACCTGTCACACTGTAGCGTATACAGCCAACGTCTGCTGACGTTTATCAAAATATTGGTTTACGTTCGCGTAAGTTGACATTCGTTCGTGACCTGTTCGTAACACGT